TCCAGTGAAATATATTTATGTTTGTGGTTGTAATGTGACAAAATATGGAAAAGTTCAAGGGGTATGAATACTTTTGCAAACCACTGTATACAGTACCTACAAAACACGACCCCCCCCCCAGATTTTTTTTACGCTGATATAGCTGCCATAAATCAATCATCATCAATATAAATAGGCATTTTTGAACAAAAAAAGAAGTATATATTCAGGGATCAACATAAGCAGTTTCTAGCTGTCTAAGATAACCAATTTGAATTCCTGGCAGCACAGATTACCAGCTACTAATAGAGGGAACCTCAGTAGAAGGAACTACCAGCCAATCACTTGCCTTTGTAAAACATCGAGGTTTCTATCAATACCTGAGCAAAGCTACTGATCGRCAGAACTGTGACTGTAAGACCAGACACACAAACCTGTTCACTGCCTGGATGAACTACAGGAAMGTCTATGATTTGATGCCACACACATGGATACAGGAGTGCTTGAAACTGTACATCAACAGAACACTTAAGAGCGCAGCATACGAACTGTCGAAATCTGATTGAATCGTCGCAGTTAAATGACGAAMATTGCGTTATTCTGTTTGCATTGTCAACATTTCAACATATTATTGTCACAACCCATGGGCTGAACATTTTACCCCCCTCCACATAATAACTTATTGTTTGATTGGTCAGAAGTTTGTGGGAGTGTTTGTTTATGCTGAAAGYGCTCAGATGCTGCATTTTGCTTCAACCACTCGCTTAAAAAAAGGATACCATACTGAAGCCTTTAGAGCCTTTAYTGAGAACTCGGACGGAATATGGAAGACAACTCTAGTGGCTAATTTAAAGCCAACTGCATGAATCAGTACCAAACATGGTGTGTACCGAAATAATGCTCTGACTGCCCACTTCTGAACTGGATAGACCTAAACCCCCTCAGCCAGATCATAAGARTGATTATGGAAACCGGTTCAAAAGTGGAACAGTTAATGTTCAACTGTAACAAATTCCAGGGAAGCCAACAAAAAAGTTTACAAAGACTGCCGCACACTCAGAGTTTCTAACTAAAAATCAACCTCAGATTTYTTCTATGTGTAAAACCATTGCATACTGCAAGGTCCATTGGTTAGAAAACATTACTATAGAACTTTGCCTTGCATTGTTTGTTCTTGGTCTGTCTGTGGATTTTTTCCTGATGAACTGACTTTACAACTGGCAAATTAATGTATACTTTTCTAGTGAATTCAGGGACAACCTCGTTCTGTTGCACAATGGTACAAAAACACTCGAGGTGTTTCCATTGGAACAACTAAATGCCAGTATAAAGGGTAATTGTATGTACTGTAATTTTAATAYGGTAGCCTCTGATTGATTACCTGCCAAGTGAGCTTGCCAAGCTATTACAGAAAGGATGATCACATAATTGATGTCCGACTGTCTCTTTTCTTTGACTTAAAACATATATTATACATGAATAAGGGATATGTATAAATTTAAAAATAAGGCAGGTCCTCTCAAACTGTGTGAGGACTGTCTGACCACACTGAAGAACCTCCTCCTAACAACCAAGGGAGTGATRGTTTAAAAAGGTTTCTCAGTGGCAGGGTGCCAGGGGTGAAGAAATTTTGCCCTGAGATGCTGAAGGCTCTGAACTTTGTGGGATTATCGTGGTTGGCACGCCTCTTCGGTGGCACGAACTGGATCCCTTGTGGAATGACTGATATGGTGGTCTCCATTTATTTTAGGTGTGTTCCAACTACCAAGGGGATCTAATTAATTACTATTATTATTATTTAAAACTAGCGCGAAACGATTAATCGCATTTGTGACAATCTTGCGATATGTTAAAGCAAGATTTTCTAACCGCACAGGCTGCGATTTGACTGGTCACATGATTTGGGAGTGAGCCGAGCAAAGCAGTGTTGCTAACTTAGCGACTTTTCAGACCCCTCTAGCGCCTCTTTCCCCCCCCCAAAAAGCAACTAGCGACAAATCTGTCGACTTTTCCCAGTGTTTTTGGAGACTTTTAGAATCTTTGACGACAGCACTGTTCAGCTGAGGAGGCCGCTGAAAATGAATCTTGTATCCGCAAAGCTGCAACTGCTTCTGCCTTGTTTACAAAGTGGGATGTAATATTTAATGTAATGTTTTTCTCTGGTACTGTCTCTGTAAAATAAATCTCTGGAACCAGCTGTGTTTGACTCACAGATCAGTCACTGCTTCACCTTGTCCTCCCTGTCTGGTGATATCTAACAGTCTGCAGGTTAAATTTAAGATTATCACTAATTTAATTTATGTAATGTGGATCTAAGCCTTGAAGTCATAAAATTATTCTTATCTCCATCCATCCATCCATTTTCTGTACACGCTTATTCCTTTCAGGGTCGTGTGGGTCACTGGTGCCCAYATCCAGCAGTCACAGTGCGAGGGGCGGGGTACACCCTGGACAGGTCGCAAGTCCATCACAGGGCCACACATATAGAGACAAACGAGACAAACAACCATTCACTCTCTCACTCACACCTAGGGACAATTYAGAGTTATCAATTAACCTAACAGTCATGTTTTTGGTCTGTGGGAAGAAGCTGGAGTGCCCGGAGAGACCCTACGCAGGCACGGAGAGAACATGCAAACTCTACCCAGAAAGGTCCCTGGGCCAGGATTTGAACCGGTGACCTTCTTACTGAGAGGCATCAGCTTTCCCAAATGAGCCACCGTGCCGCCCTATTTTTATCTCAATTAAGTTTAATTGCAGTTTTAAACATATTTAGTGTTTTTCTTCACCTTTTTTCTCTTTAACATCTCTCCTATAGCTCAGATCACAATTTTAGGCAAACATACAGTATTAGGTGGTGATGTAATCTAGTGATTTGAGTTTGATTTACCTAGAAAATAACGAGCTGCTTAAAGCAGATGGAAAGCAATAAGCTTTATATATATATATATATTTTTTTTTCTATTTATTTATAGACTGCACTGTGAATTTCAGACAGTGTTTAGGAAGTTAACTTAACATGTTTAATATGTTTCATGAAACAAGAAAAATTAGAAATGGTGAAAAGGTAAAGCCACAGATTTGTTTGCTTTATTGTAATATGTGCTTTAAATGAATCTTACTTTATTATAAAACAGATTGCTTCTGTTAATTGAAAAATACTTAAGACATTAAAAAATAATTGCATGTTAAATTGCAATTTATAGATTAAAAAATTGCAATTAKATTATTTTYCAAAATCGTTCAGCTCTATTTAAAACACATAAAATTTCCTTGCAATACAAACTGCAATTGTCTGCAGGTTGTAAACGCAATTTCTGTAACCTCATGCAAACATTTCAGCAGATGTAAAGTGCTGGTTGTCCCCGTTGAACAAATACTACCAAACTGGTATCTCCAAAAAAGCCATCACTGTCCATCAACTACAGGCACATTTTGCTTTTTTTATTWATATTTATTGAAGAAATATGCTGAAAATATATTTATGGCTGTTCTGACTCTTGCTTGTAGTCTTGTCCTTAATAATCCCTAAGATGAAAGCAACAAAGGCTTAAAGAGGAGAAAACATTACCGTATTTTTTGGACTATAAGCCACGACTTTTTTCCTGAACTTTAAACCATGCGGCTTATAGTCCAGTGCGGCTTTATACATGGATTTTTTTCTTCAGCCACCAGGGGGCTCTTTAGTGGAGGTGGGGGCTCTTATGCTGCATTTGCTTCAACCACTCGCTTCAAAAAAAGAAAGGAGAAAAAAGAAAAAAGAAAAAAAGCGATCGCTTCCAGAGCCGACTGTTGTACCAGGAAGCAGCGATTTAAAGATAGTCAATGGCCAAAAACACGTAAAAGGGGATAAAACAGACATTTTTCACGGTGGAATCTGACTGATAAAAACTTTGGGGCTTAATCCGGGACCAGTTTGTGGATAAAAAATGTCGAGTGAAGAGCCGCGGACTTTTTTTTCCGCACTGCACTCCCCTGGAAAGGAATCCCATGCAGTGACATATGCTGGAGCTGGAGGGGTTTCTCAGCAGCTTGGCTCAGGGTTTCTCGGGGGAACTATGAAAGGTCAGTGCGAAAATGATCGCCGAACAACCACGTGATGGCGCATCGACCGGTCACCAGCCGAGCGACCATGATACTGCCAGCTTAGCCGGAGGTGTAGCGCCATTTTGTTTTAGCTAGTAGCAGACACGACATGATGGATCTTCGAAAGACACGATATTGGACAGTATGCGGGCCCACATCACGGATTCGGTGAAAGCAGCCATCAAGAAAACAAACTCAATTCCTGCTGTTATTCCTGGAGGTACAACAAAGTTTGTACAAACCCTGGACATCAGTGTGAATTGTGTATTTAAAGCAGCACTCAGGGCTGAATGGGAGGCTTGGATGACTGACGGGAATAAATCATTCACAAAAACTGGCCGAATGCGAAGAGCGTAATTTCCTGATGTCTGCCAGTGGATCCTAACAGCGTGGAGCAGAGTGAATGAGTCCACCATCACCAATGGGTTCCTAAAGGCTGGACTGCTACGTGAAGAGGGCACCACAGCTTCAGACCCAGCATTACCCCGGGAGGACAGTGACACAGAAAGCAACATTGAACAGATACAGCTGTGTGACGCAGCTTTTCTCAGCTTATTTAACTCCGACACTGAAGAGGAGGACTTTGATGGTTTCAGTGCACCGGAGGATGAAGAATGAGACGTTTTGTTGGACCAGAAACTGTTAAAGAAAACTACCAAAATTAGGTCAGTTAAACGAACCGTATTCCTCCGAACTTTAATTCCTAAATGTTTGCTTTTTATGTTTTGATGTTCAATTCACTTTTTTGATGACAATTTTGGGTGTACTGTTTTGTTTTGCTTTTTTTTGTTGGGGGTGCAGCTTATAGTCCGGTGAGGCTTTATATGCTAATATTCGCGGGTTGTTTTTTTTTTTTTTTTAAATGGCGGGTGCGGCTTAGTCCAGTTGCAGCTTATAGTTCGAAAAATACGGTAGGTAAAATTACCAAACTAAGATTACTACAAATGAAACGTGTCACAGAAAGATGTCTCACCAGCTCTACTGTGTTCCTCCTGTTTGTTTCTCTCAAAGTCTCATCCACAAAGCTTTCCCAGCGACCTCTGCAGTCTTCTGGCAGCTCTGCAAGAAAACGAAACCAGACAAAACTTTTCTTTTTACTCTTTTTTTACCTGTAATATGACCTTGTGTCTAAGATGCTTCACAGCATTACTACCTTTGATGAGGTCAGTGATCTGGGCCTGTACTGGTCCCTTTTCAAGATTCTGAACCACCATGTTGGCAATTCTGGTCAGATGGCCCATGTTGCCTCTCCTGGTGCCACCTTCAGCCCTGATATTTACAAGTACACACTTAAAATACTTTTAACCTACAGAATGTCCTTTAACTTTATGACAATAAGCATTCCTTAGGAGAAAAACAACCACCTCACATAAATGCTTACAAATACTTTTAATACACTGCTGACTAAAGTTAAACCAATTCTTAAAAAGACATCACATTTCAATTGGGGGAAAAAGTCATGCTGGATACCAAAACTGATACAGAATGAGTAATGTGTTAGCAGAGGTGTTWAAAGTATTCACRTTCATTACTCAAGTAGAAGTACAGACACTAGGGTTTAAAACTACTTCTGTAGAAGTATCAACTCAAGCTTTTTACTCAAGTAAAAATATAGAAGTACTGGTTTTAAACCTGACAGTGTCAGCTATAAAGAAAAAATCTTTGAATCTGCAGGTCAGGMTTTTTAAAGATTGATGAGAGGCTTCGCCWCATGCTACAGTACTGACGCTGACCCTAGTCAAATGCAAAACAACTGTAAGGCAGGTTGACTTTTCCACGAGATCTTCTGAGGGTTAACTGAACAAAAGCACTAACTTCAGTCAGCACAAATCTTTTAAATAAACTTACTGTATTTTATCATTCTCTTCCCAAGCATCGAGGATTCTTTGAACTAGATGACATTTCTGGAAAAGCTAAGGATGAAAAAACAAAGAATTGTGTAAAAACAGAGCAAGCAATCAATTTCTGTGTACTTTGACACATTCAGGACATCGAGTTGCGCAAGTTACTTACATGTGCCACAAGAGCATTATGAATCGATGTTTGTGGGTCACTGCTTGTGGCCGTTTCCTCTCCCTCCCCTTGAACCTCAGAACTGGAGGCTCCGGGCTTCCCGTCGTGGTTCTGAAGGTCTGGACCGCGCCGCTCTTCTGAGGAAGGATGGTTCAGAATAGCTGCTACGCACAGCTCCACTTGGAAGTGCAAAAAGTTATTCCAGGAATATTTGAAGAACAGATCCTACACAACAACGGAGCCACAATCAATAACATATGCAGACAAGTCAAAATRTAACACATAACTGAATCAAACAATTTATGTTTAACATTGATTAGCTGTTGGCGGTCATCTTGAATTGGAGTAATCACAATTTTACCACCACACAGGCAGGGTCATGCCTGTGGGCCCTCCTCTGGTTTTCAAGAAGTCCTGATGGTCTCTCTGCTCCAGGCAGCTCAGCCAACCAGGAATGACAAGGCAGGAGGGGGAGGGTTCTACTTTCTTCACTGCATTGCTACCAATAACCAGTTACTCTGTGCTRTGCTAACTTAGCGCAGATGCCCAGTGATTGAAACACATTCTGCTGTGAACCACCCCAGTGCGCACTGAAGGTCTTGTCCAAAGACGCGAAGAGAAACACATCATCCACATCCATAGCAGCCAAGAAGAAGCTTCGACAAATTCTGAATGCTAAATAAAATTCAAGATGGCCACCAGAGCTAAGTTTAAACTGCAATAACTCAGCTATTTTAAAAACATTCTGGGCTGAAATTTGGTGCGGTGGAAGCTGAGAACGATCCCCATCACATACTGAAGCCAAATCAAAAGTCCAAGATCCCCAATGTGACTGTTATTTTTACTTTACTGAAGTCTTTGAATTTCCTGCCTGTTAAAATGCAAACAAAYGTATTTTCCCAATAATCTGCTTCATAAAACCACACCTATTTGGTCAAATGATGTAATGTTTATTAGTTCCTCCTTGCCTCATGWCCAAACTTGTGTTGATCTAATGCAGCGTTTTGGAGGAATGACACTCAAACACATCTGAACTCCTGTTGTACACCAACATAAAAAAGAGCTACAGTGTTTGGGTTTGTGCTGTGTTTAGCCTACCAGTAGTAGGTCCATGGTGGTAAGATTGCAGAGCTCCTGGCAGATATTGGGTACACTGGTTTGCAATAGGGCGGCCACCAGTCGGGCCACRTGAAGGCGAGCGTTCCCCAGTGGCTGCTCTAGAACGCCAACGGTYGTCAATATTGCACTTTTCTGTGAAGATGATAGATCATAACTCTTACCTATGCACAAAAACTCAAGTCTTAATTAAGCTGACAAAATACAATAAAAACTGTAGGAAACAATCTTTAGAAACATACAGTATCAAAACTAATTATCAATTTCAAAAGCACCACTAGTGAACACCAAATTATCTGTCAGCTTAGCTTCATGATCTGGCACTGCACTGAGACGGTTACCTTAGGGGGATCCAGAAGAAGCTGCTGGAAGTCCTTTAAATGGGGCTCAATGGCATTTAAAATACTGCTGTTGACAGTGTAAGACCTTTCGTAACCCTGAGAATACAGATCCATCAAACCCTCCAACCTGATGGACACAAGCAGACAAATAACACCAGGACAAGTTTGCAAAAATTTCATCTCAGTTTTAGTCAAAGTAAATCACTTGAAACAAAAACACAGGTTCCATCTTTCCTCGATGGCCTGTAGGAGCCTGGGTTTTTCCCAATGTATTATAAGYCTGGTGGGCCACCAGACCTCAATTAATTGTAACAAACATTAGAACCTAAACTTTACCAAATGTGATATTACATCTATCTTTTTTTCTTATTAAAATACAAGTCAAACAACCTCTATCATTACACTGAAGTCAAAAAACTCTCTAGACAATAATGAGACTAATATATTAGTAACATTTTTTTTATAAACAGCCATCAGTCTAAACATGTTTTATCTATTTTATTAGTAAATGGTAGGCATGTAAAATAATTACTTGCAGAGCAGTTATGTTCTGGTTTGAGTGAAATGATAACATGACTTGGTAATTTTTCTATGCTAATGGAAACCTGCTGAGTCAGTGTTTTGTAGCCACGACTACATGACTGGGTGTGGTGGGAGGCTCATCACAGCATCCTCTTTATCTTTTATGTTTAGTTAAATAAATACAGATTCTTTATACGCGTTTTTGGAAAGATGATGACACACCGTAAAGCACAAAAGGCATTTAACATCAAGATGTCATCCGTAAATCTCGCCATGWGTTGTCAGTGACCATTCCAGCGCGTTTCAAGCAGAGCGCTACGTTACTAATGCCAGTGGTTGTCAATGGTGTAGGGAGGATGGGATAGTTGTAGCGGTGCACTACATCGGTAGTGCTAGTTAAAGTCACTTATCTTGTTGCTACTATCTTTGCTCCCTGTCCAGAAGTAATGTAACTTTTGTCGGTGGGGAGGGGGGCTCGATTGGCAGGGATGGCAGTTCCACTGGGAGGGTAGGCCACATCTTGGAAAATGGTTACAATGTACTTTTCCATCAATACGACATCTCTGTGCAAGAGATTTTTATAGGCCCTCGGAAAAAATATAAAGGACGCACCAACAGTTTGACACCTGTAGGAGGACTTCCTCCTGTTTCTCTATAACTGATGTCATGACTGACAAGGTACCAATTATTGATTGCCATTTCGCAGAACATCAACTTAAAATGACCAAAGTACTCCTTTCAAATTACAAGTATCAAAGAAGTATCTAATTTCACATAAATGGCATAGTCCAGTTGACATAAACAATGAACATAGCAGTTTACTGTATTTAGTGCAGCAGAGCCACAACCCAGAAAGGGAACACATCAGAACTGAACCACAATGTAAGAAAAGAAGGTTGGTCCAAATCACAACTTAGCAAGTCTGCTCCTGAAGGTTTGGGGCCAGATCCCACAGAAAACCTCAAGAGGTTTAGAGCAGTGTTTCCCAACCCCAGTCTTCAAGGCACACTGCCCTGCAAGTTTTAGAAGTTTCCCTGCTTTAACGCACCTGATTCAGATGATTGCCAGTTCAACAAAAGCCTGTTAATCAGTTGTCAATTGAAATCAGCTGTGTTGAAGCAGGGAAATATCTATAACATTCAGGGCAGTGTGCCTTAAGGATCAAGGTTGGAAAAACACAGGTTTAGTCGTCGTCAAAGCCTCCACTAGACATACAGTAGCCGTTTTTGTAGGGATGCACGATATTTTGGCATTCATATCGTATCGGCCAATATTGGTCAATTTTTAGAATATCGGTATCGGTCAAATATCGGATCCATCGTGTGATCGCTGCGGACAATCTCCTGCCACACTTCTGCACACATTCTGGTCCTGTCCAAAGCTACATGGATATTGGCAAGGCATCTTTGATACCTTTTCAGGACTATTTGGACGAACTGTTCATCCATCACCATTCATCTCTAGAAGACTTATTCTTCTTCGATGGAAGGATCCACATCCTCCAGTATATGGTCA